GTAGTCTCATACCACTTCCTGCTACTCACATGCTACAGCCCAATTTGACATGGAAATGAATCTCCCAACAAGTGAAACCTCTCAGTCAGCTCTTTCATTCAGTGTTTGTTGTTCTTTGTTCAAATATTGTAAACAAGTCACCTGGTGTCGTTTACGTTCCTAGTCCTTGCTATCATCCTGCTGAGCGACTGTGGACCAACACCTGATTTCTAAAAGTCACTATGTTAGCATGACATACCTCTTTATATAGGACCATCACCACTGAGTAATTTGTGTAGCCCTTCAGGAGGAATTGAAGGACCACTTGGGTACTTTGATAGAGAGAGAGAACAAATAAAGGAGTTTAAGGACAGGTACACGTATGTTAGTTGTGCAAGAGGAATAGAACATGCATGGATGTGGGCATAATTTACAGACACTCACACTCACACTCACACTTACTGTCTGTCAGTCTGTCTCTGTATATATATATATATATATATATATATATATATATATATATATATATATATATATATATATATATATATATATATATATATATGTGTAAGTGGTATATCAGTTGCATGTTGTGTGTGCATCAGTTGTTTGTAAGTGTGTGATTGACATATATGAATATAAATACAGGCATAGGCATAGGCATAAACATAGAGAGACATAGACATGTCACACACACACCATGCAAATCAATGTTATTTCCAAGCTGGACCTCCAGCCATCTACATTGCCAGATTTTTACCTGATCAAGTGCCGTCAGAGTGATGTCCGTATGTATTATGTTTATAGACAATGTTGAGGATGATGTATCATATATATAATCATGTTCATTCTTGTCTTATTAAAATTTTTGGTTGATTATGCCTAAAGGGTTTTGAATATGTAGTCAGTATCCCATACTGTTCAGTTGAGGACAGTAGAGACAGCTGATCTGAGATTAGGGTCATCCCAGCAGAAGTAAAATCAGTATAAAGTGGTGATGGAAGACTCTGCATCTTTTCTGTGTATTGGCAACCAAGCCCATATGGAGTTACAAATGCATAGATATAGTATGACGTGGCATATAGAACCTGGCATTGACAGTGCGTATGGAAGGAAAGTAATGGAATGGGGATGAGCAATACATGTTTCCAGTGCCATGTTCCCCAGGCTTGGCCCAACACTCCATGGCCACTTCTCAGTCATCACAAAAAGGGTGTTTGTTCTCTTATTCATTTGTCTGTACATATCTTTGTTGCCCAAAGGGTAGACAGTAAACACATTACCACAAAAGTGATCATTTGTAAATTGTAATAACATTATTGTATAACCTGTCAGCATAATGTATAGCGCAGCCTAAGTGCGAAAGTAATAAAATGACTAAAGCAATCTGTGTTTGCCATACCAGTCAACTTTTCTAGTGATTGTTTACATGTGGAATATACAATCACCCTTTTTTAATATCATCCCTTGGCGAGACATTATTTTCTTACATTAAAGCTTTATGCCATGTCCAAAATGGCAACCTTTGCTTGGTAAACAATGCCTCTGCTGTATGGATTTCCGGTGCTGTCCAAGCAACACTGAGAGTGACTGAAAGAGGATCAATTGGTGTGCGATACAGATCGAAGAACACACAAGAAATATTAAACACACAATGTAAGTTTGTGTGTTTGACTGCATCTGTATCCCAATCACAATGCTCAACCTTGACCAACAGGCAAAGCCTTGATACATCACTAAATATTTTCTTGCTGTTTTCTCCATTTCTGATCTCGCACCAAACAGAGTTTACTGGGTAGAGCTTTTCCTTGTGGACGGGATCTTAAGTTCAATATTTTGGGAATTGTCTGGTGAAAAAAACTTTCCAGTCTTGGGATTATTTAGTACTCTATAGGTTAGTATATTGTTTGACTTTTATTTGAACTGTTTCCATAGTAAGACAAAATGTGTTTACATGTAGTTTCTATAGCATATACACTGATATGAACACGTTACATGAATACTGTATTTTAACTGAGTAAGATGCCATGCTTTAAATCATTCTTAAAATATGTATTATGCAAAAGTAACATCTCATGAACTCATCTGTAAATAAAAGGTTAATGGTTACAAAGCAAAGTGAATGTGCCAGACATCAAAGGTCATATACCACGAAAGGTGTAGCAATGAAAATGATAAAGATGGGGTTTAGTTGAAAAGGGTTAAGAGGGGTGAGGGTAGTAATGGTGAGTAAATTGGTTAAGGTAGGGATTAGTTGAAGGATGATTAGATCAAAAGTTGTCAAATGTTCGGGATTTTGTAAAGGATGTCCGTGGAAGAAGGTAGGGGCTGGCAAAAACGAAAAGGGTGAAAAGGTCAAAGGGCAGTTTCCGGAGAAATGTCAGGAGAGGGAGGATCCAAGGAAGACTACAGGTGTGACAGAAGGGATAATTGGGGTGGGAGGGGTTACAGTGCAGATGAATCAGGGAGGATAGGGTGTGTTGGGAGGGAGTGGGAGGAAGAGGTGTAGGGGGAGCATGAGTAGGAGGAGGATGGATGTCGGCATTCATTTTGAGTGCAAAGGGAATGGGAGCGGAGAGTTTGGAGGATGGGTGGGATATAGGGATGTTATCTTGGGTCATGATTAGATAGTTTTGATATTCTGGATGACCTCGGGAGTTATGTTGAACTTTGCCTACTTGTTTCTAGAGACATTGTTGGAAGTAAGGGGTTCTGGGGGGAATCACGAAAAATCGATTCCATTTAGCTGGGCCACTGAGAGTACTCAAAAGATTTGTAGAGGTGGAAGTATTTGAATGACAAAGAAGAGTCAGAGGTGTTGAGTTAGGTTGTGTAATGGGGAGGTTGGCAATAAGAATGCAGAGTAGTAAAATGGGAGGAAGGGGCTGAAAATAAAGAACACTGGGGCATGAGGAGACGGAGTAAAGGATTTTGAGAGAAGAAATGTTTTATGAAGGTTAAGTAATGACCTCGGTAGGTGCTTTGGACTGAGCTGGTGGCAGTGTTCAGAGTCGTGATCAAAGGGGAGGAGGGAGGAGAACTGGGAGAGAACGTCAGCAGGGCTAGTGGATAATGGGGCAAGCCTCATTGCCGTTAATAAAAGTACGAAATGATTACAGGCCATGATAAGCCTGGAGTACATATGGAAGAGAAATGGTTCACTTCTCAGTGTTCCCATGAGGGGTAAGGGTGTGGAGAGGCCTAGGGCGAGGTAATTGAGAGAGCCCTAGGCCCTGAGCAGACAGGAGAATTAAACTCGCTGCAGAGAAGACGATGAAGTGTGTATTTTCGGCGGAAAATGCGGTATAAATACAAAATGGGTAAAGTAATAATGCTGGGTCGTTTGCGGCTGAGGTGTACTGATTGGCCGACGGCTGCTTTCTTATCTTCCGCGTCGCGGCGAATCAGCGCCGCGGACCTCGCCACGCTTGCCTGCCGGCTGACTCGGCGTAAGGGCAATTATTCTGAGCGAGGCTCGCCGGTGCCGAATGAGGCAATTATGCAGAGCGAGACAGCGCCGGTGCCGAGGTGATTGTGGCGTCTGCCACAAGGGCTAGGTAACTAAACAGGGTAATACTGTGCCCATGGCTCCCTGAGGCCGTTCAGGATTTACACAAAGCCATCCTTTTCTACTTTCCACATGGTTCTCACATCATGGGTTGGAGCAGAAGAGGTTGGAGAAGAGAAGGAAAAGGAAATTGGAAGAAAAGACCGTGTAAAATTGTTTAAGCCAAGGGTTTAGGCCCAAGGTAGGGGATGTCCCCAAAATTGGGCCTCAGTCTGTCTCCTAAGGTCCCAACGACAACGGCCATGGGACTGGGGGTCATTATCACTAAAAATATAATTTAATACAGGTATTCCATTTGGGTAAGCTACTTTCAGTTAACGACAGTGGCTGAAGAAGTCGCCTTCCACGTAAAATATTTTTGAAAATCCACTGATAGATTAAGATATGAGAACACCTGCAGTTAGTCTCATAATCGTTTAAATTCAGAAAATTGGGCTTGATTTCTAAATTTCAGAGAAAATATGTCCATGAGTTTCTTTTTTTTACCATTTCGAACAATTTTATTGAAAATTTGCTTGACTCAAAACTTTAATAATCACTAACATGGATGTGTATGTAAGGAAATATCTACTTTCACTTTCAGAAAATTTCGAAGTTGATAAGGTAAACCAAAGATCATTAAGCTTTATTAAACAATGGATAGGATGACGAAACGAGTCGAGACAAAACTGTTTCAGCATTGGATCTGAAACGAATATTTGTAGCTTGCCTCTTACTTCATTGAGGTCAACAGTGTCACAGTTCTGGCTGCAAATAAACCAATTTGCTTAAATATTTGCCCTCTGTTCGGTCATTGTCCAGATGCCGTTATCATCAAAATTTAGGTGAACTTAGTCCGGGTCTTGATGTGATTTCAAGCATTTCTGAAGTATCAACCAAAATTAATATATGCATGATTAGCCTACGCAAGATGTTAGACATCCCTTCGTAATCAATTCTAGCACCAATAATTGTGTTCCTACACTCACACAAGCTGCAGACCTTTCACTTTGATAATTTGTTGAAAAACATCGAAAATAAACTTTTGGTAATAAGTATAATGGGATAAAGGTCTACATTATTTTGGAAATCGGACACCTTTCCAAAGGCATCCCAGTAACTCGCTGGAGGCATCATTACAGCTGTCTGCTAGATGAGGTGGAGAGCGCCATTTGCAGCGGAATGAGGCAGCCGTTGCTTTCCGTGAACTCCGTAGCCATGACACATGTAGTTTACCCTTTGAACTTACAGGAAATATGTACGAGGCGGGTATATGCCCTAAGTATATTTTTTCTACACCAGCACTAACTGAATGCTGCCAAGGACACACGTTCAACTACCAACACACTCCAATCTAAGGGTGAAATTCTTTTGTAGTGGCACTGGTGTTCGAATTGCCTGTCGGGCCTGTAAGCCCACCCAGTCGGGGAAGGCTAGATCAGTAGCAACTCAGTGAGGTGTGATGGCGTCTATT